TCATCTGGTGTCTCCATTCAGAGGACCAGGGGAAGCCATTTTATTTAGCCCATGCAGGCTGCGCTATAATCTTAAAGTAAGAGTTCAGTGGAAATGTAAGAAACAGTTACACAAAAAGATGTGAATGTTGCAAGTGTTACTGAATAATCGCAAGAAGCACAAAGGCTTGGATAAGGGGCATGAAGTGAATGTTACATTTTTTCTAAGGTTGTCTTTGAACTTACTTACATTATCAATGAATATGGCAAGAGGTTAATTTTTAGATCATGGAGTATATTCCTCAATGTTTCCTCCTATTTTCATGGAGGCGCAACATTATACCAAAAATGTTACTTTCAAATACAGTCGTCCCTCCATTTTTGCAGACTTGGAGTACGCATCCCATTTTTGCAGACTTGCCCATTCACAGGTTGCAAATGGAGGGGGACAAAATAGGGCAGGTGCCCACGGACACGCACCACCATTCAAGCCAGTGGGGCTTGAATATTGGTGAATTTCCATTTTCATGGGAGGAGGGAGTCCAGAACGTATCCTTGTGATAACAGAGGGATGACTGTACAACTCTCAGTGACCAAACTAGCTGGGCGATTCTTGTTGTTATAATCCCAGAAGTAGCTTCCTTGAGGCTCTGGTTATTGTATGTGGCTCGATTTTAAAAAATAATAATCTCAAAACACTAGTTTCTTGGGCTGGTGTGGTATTCCTCAAGACTTCTTCAAAAGAGAAAAATTAGTAAGCAGTTCACCAATCTTCCCATTTTCTTTTGCTTCAGAAGGAGGAAAGGATAATCCTGGAAGACACTTTTCAAGCCAAAAGGCAATGGCAGTTCTAATTGCTCATGTGAAACTGTGCCCGTTTATTGACAATGCTGCATTAATCTTTATCTCCAAACACATGTTTTTGCGAAATGCAGGTGAATGCAGTCAGGTAGATACTCCCAAAGCTATCTTTTAATCTAAAGATTTAGGACTTGAAACAAAGCTAGAATAATTTAACATTGCTCTGCTGCCTTCAGCATTTGTCATACCCATGTACACCTATACATTCTCTTTCCTCTCTGTAGGATGTGTGGGCTAGGAAGGAGAATGGTGATGTTTCTGGCCACAGAGAAGGGATCCAGCTGCCTTGAATCACATCTGAGGAGAAAGGTGAGATATAAGTGCAGTAAATAAATACATGGTAGCAAAAGAAAGGAGGCAACATACTTCTGTTAGGTGGACAGATGTCTGTGTTGCTGCTCAACAGTAATTGTGACACATGAGTTACTATGTCTATGCTGACAGCTCTATGTAAAAAGAATGATCGATGAATTGGTCTGTAGATGATGCAAAATTATGAGTTTGGTATAGAATTTAAGTAAGGGAAAAGGGAAGGCAGAAAGAATATGATTATCAAGAGACCAATCCTGGAAGAACAAAGATATTTTTCCCCTCCATGACATTTTTTGTTTTACTGAAATGAAAAAAGACAGCCATCTGAATATAGAAAAACATGATATCCATCCGTTCTTGCTCTTGCATCCTCCCTTCTCTTTCTGTGAGAAAAATGGAAGAGATGGCAGAACTGTATTCAGAATAAAAGGTAAAGGTATTCACTGTTGACAAGGTTGTCATGTTGTGTCCGACCGTAGGGTGGTGCTCATCTCTGTTACTAAGCCGAAGAACCAGCATTGTCAGAGACTACTCTGTGATCAAGTGGCCACGCTGTTTACCTTCCCACCAAAGTGGTATCTATTTATCTACTTGCACTTGCATGCTTTCAAGCTGCTAGGTTGGCAGAAGCTGGGACTAATGACAGGAGCTCACCCATCATGCAGCACCCAGGCCTTGAACTGCCAACCTGCCAATCTTACAATCAACAGAGTCAGCATCTTAACCACTTGAGCCACTGCATTATTCAGAATAATATCCCTTTATTTATTACATTTTAATCTTACTTTTCTATTAAAAAAACAACACTCAAAGTAATTAGTGAACATCAATATAATCATGCTGGTGATTATAGGATAATCATCAATAAACGCTGAGATCAATCCAGACTGAGGAGATTTGGGATCGACAACATCTCTGCTCAGTCACTAAAGGCCTAAGCAGACTGCCAGAAATAGTGCACATTAAATTGAGGCACTGCCTTGGCTCACTGCTAGGGAGTCATGGGAATTATATTTTTTTCTGAGACATTGAGCCTTCTCTGTCAGAGAGCTCTGGTGCCACAATAAAATACAGGTCCCATGACTCCCTAGCACTGAGCCAGGGCAGTGCCTCAATTTAATGTGCACTATTTCTGCCAGTCTGCTTAGGCCCTGAGTCTCAGGGACATTACTGATTCTCTCTATCTCTCTGTCTTTCTTCCTGTTATCTATTTTGTTACTTAAGGCAGCTATTCATATAGGAATGAATGACTGTGATATAAACTTACACGTTATCTTTCACAGTTTGTGTAGGACTGTATTATACTTGTTTTCATTTTGAAAAATGAGACATTTTGACACATGATTTGAAGTTATACTTAACCGCCAAGAAATATTCTCACCATTTGAAATTTGTGCTAAATTTGAAAGAGAATCAAACTTCAAACAAATCCAAATTAATTCTTTTTTATTCTCTCCCTCCCTCTCCTGCTCATTTGAAGAAAACATTGGGATATTCTCTGTCCCTCCTTCCCAAGTTTCTGTAAGGCAGTGCTTCTTAAACTGTCTGATGTGGGAAAGCTGAAAGGATTTTCCCTCTATGTGCCATGAACTGTGACCATCTTTCTGCCTGTTGAAAACCACTGGTTCTTCCCCCCCCCCCCCCGAGACTCTCTACAGACTGGCAACCAATAGTTCATGGACTGGCACTGGTCCACCGACCACCACTCTTGAGTAGCACATCTCTAAGGAAATGTGATGCAGATTGGCTTTTCAGAATATAAACAGGCAATAAATGTTGCTTTCTATTGGCATAATCTTATTAGACCTGAGTTCCAATGCCTACTTCACCTGAAGTACCATACCTACTTCAATTATAACAAAAGAAAGGGGAGAAATACTTTTACTTTTGAAATGTAGCTATTCCTCTCTGACTAAACCCTTATGAAGAAATTCAAGGTAGGCAAGCAGTGCAGTGCTGGAGAATGGGAAGAATGCATAGCCTTCAAAGTGGTACAGTTGGCCTTCCTTATCTACATATTCTTTATCCACAGATTCAACCATCCTTGGTTTTAAAATGTTTTTAAAAATATAAATACTAAAAAGCAAACCTTAATTTTATCATATTATATGAATGACACCATTTTACTACACCATTGTATTTAATGGGATCTGAATATTCAGAGATTTTGGTATCCATAGGGGCCCCTGGAATCAAATCACAGTGAATACCAAGGGCTCACTGTAGTTTCAAACAAATTGAACAAAGATTGCAAATTTGCAGGACTTTGCTGAGTAGGAATTAATAACCTAAAGCTCTTGTCACTAATGATATATCATCATCATCATCATCATCATCAATCATCACCATCTCATTAGTGTGCACTGTGTTTTTTATAGATATCAGAAAACATGGGAATTGGGCAGGATATAAGTTTGTTGCAACAGTGCTTAGAAAATGAGATATCTTTTGAAAGATGTCTGGATTACTGCAGAACAACAATGCATTTTCTCCATAAAAGACTCAACTGGAAAGGGTTTTCTTTTAGACTGTGTTGGCTTACCTGGCAAGTGATTTGCTTTATGGCTCCCTCAGGCTTTTGACATGCTCTAAATCAAGGGTCGGCAACCTGTTTTGCCGCCGGGCCGGGGGGGGGG